AGATCTTGTTGCACTTGAGCATGGACTCCTTCAGCATCTGAGAAGCTGAAAATGGTCTTAAACATTGTGCAATTATTGACAAACATACCCAGCTCTGACCTTATGGTGGAGGGAAGGTCATTGATGAAGCAGCTAAATTTGGTTGGACCTAGGACATTACCTTGAGGAACTGCTGCAGAGATGTCCTGGAGATGAGCTGTCTGGCCTACAGCAACCACGACCATCTTCCTATCTGCTAGGTATGACTCCAACCAGCAGAGAGTTTGCCTCCAATGGTGCGCATTGATTCCAGTTTTGCTGGGGCTCCTTGATGCCACACTCGGTCGAATACAGCCTTGATATCAAGGGCTGTCACTTTCACCTCACCTCCGGAATTCAGCTCTTTTGTCCATGTTTGAACCAAGGCTGTAATGAGGTCAGGAGCTGAGTGGCCCTGGTGGAACCCAAACTGGGCGTCACTGAGCAGGTTATTGCTGAACTGGTGCTGCTTGATAGCACTGTTAGTGACACCTTCCATCACATTACTGACGATCAAGAATAGATTGAGAGGATGGGAATTGGCCGGGTTGGATTTGTCCTGCTTTTTATGTACAGGACTTACCTGGGCAATTTGCCACATTGTCAGGTCAATGTCAGTGTTCCACTATAACTGCAACACAGACGTCTGTCCTATGGGAGGCTGTGGTGTAGTGGGTAATGCCATTGGATAGGAATGCAGAGGCCCAGGCAAATGGTCTGGGGTCATCAGTTCAATTCGCAGCATAGTGATCACTGGAATTGAGGTTTACCGTTGGATAGCATGACTGAGATGATCATCTCAAGTGAACTCCAGACCATGTGGTTCCTGTGACCTGCCCCCATTCAGTTTAAGAGCACTTAGGGATGGCCAACTGCTGCAAGCGTCATCTGCACTGCCCATGTCCCACAAAAGAATAAAGGAGGAAGCAATGATTGTGTAATTATGGAACACACTCTGAGCTCGAGCATCAACGTTTTTCTCCGTATTTTCGGCCGAGTTGTTGTTCTTAGCTCCCTACCGGTTTCATTTGCTGCTTTTTTGTGTTTTTGGGATCCTTAAGGGGGAGGGGGAGCAGTCCCAAGTCGTGGTCCACAT